TACTAATATGGGCAACAAAATTGCTGCAACTTGCAACAAAATCTGATTTCTGCGCATGTTAATTGAAATGTTTTGTCAACATTTCTACTTAAAATGCGTTGAAATCAGATTTTGTTGCAGAAATTTTGGCTGCAGCAATTTTGTTGCACGTATTACTCCAACCTCGGTATTACTCCAGCTTTAAATTAACAACAATTAATGCAGGCTACCCACATGTACGCAGCGCGTACCTATTTTTTTCTTTCCGATCTATGTTAAGTGTCACCTATCACTGATAAAGAACTAAATAAATTAGATAAGAAATAACGTTCAGTGCTCGTTTTAGCCAATGGATTTGAACAGCCTATTGAAGGTCGGGCCTTGGTGAGAGTAAGTCGAGGTACTCAGACCCACAAACTTGTTGTAAATGTAGTAAAAGGAGAAGGGTACGAGCCAATTCTATGCAAGCAAACCTTGATTGACATGGGCATGATAAAGATCCTTGATTCCGACCAAAAACGCCGAGTAAATGTAGTAACAGCTAGATGCGACCCTTTGTTACAAGAGTTTAGTGATGTCTTTGAAAGTCTTGGAAAGCTCGAAGTGCAATACACGATTGTCACAGATCCATCCGCCTCGCCGTTTGCCAGTCGCATTAATCGATCAAGTCCAAGAAAAGCTTGATAACATGGTAAAGGATGACTTTACTGCAAAAGGTGATCAACCCACTGATTGGGTCTCCAGCATGCTCGTAGCCAGCGAGCAGGCCGTTGTTAGGCAGAGGCTAGGAGGAACGGCCTGCGACCTTTATTAGTAAAAAAGTCGATTTATGCGTACGGAGCGTACGCAAAATTCCCATTAGTTAATTAAAAGTTCCCCATGAGTTAATATCGTGCAAATATTTAACTCGTACGACATTTCGCAATGTAATTTTAAAGCTAGCATTCAACCAGTGGCGTTTAAAACCATGACTTTGTTTATCTCTTCGAAGAAGTATTAACTGAATCCGTATTTGAAAAACCTTTCTATTTAAATTAACGTTGAAGGATGAACAAAGGTTTGCAATATTAACTGCACTTCCAACGGGTTTTGCCAATATACTTTGTCTTCGTCAGCTATAAACCTTTCACAAAGAAGTACAAGGGAAATCTTCGACGTATGCTTTGCTGATCTTTGTAGAGATTGTAAAATAAGTCTAGTTCAGGCTGACATTAGACAGATTTAGAAAAGACGGCTGGACCTCATAGACGACGTGAAAATGACGTGTACACCTCGCGTTCACTTCCGGGTTTTAATCTGGACGGCTTGTTTGTCTTTTTCGAAGCAAATTTTTGTTTTCTTGTTCCCTGCTCATTCCTGTATTGTTTTCAATCAGGTTTCAACTTTTGTGCAAGAAAAGGCTATATAATACTGGCCAAGTGTTTCCTGATGAATTAGTATGAACATTCAATAAGTTTTTTTTAGAAAAAGACGTATATTTCGGTATTTTGAAAAGTGAACTTTGTTGCATCATTTGGAATAAATACTATAGCTGCAGGTATTGTTTACGAGCTAAATGCTTTAGTTTGTAGCCTATTCAATCAAATTTGTCAACTGTTTAGTATAAATAAGGCATCAGTGCTTATATTGGTAAAATTTAATACTGTTTGAGATAGTTTTTCACGCTGTAACGCGTTTTTTTACTTCCCCTACTTTTTCGCACTTTTGTGACTGAGCAACTAAAATTGATTGAGTTTTTACTGGTTTTAATTGCTTTTATTCTTCTATCGTCCCAAGTTTTCCTGATTTTAAACAGTTTTTAATATAACTTCACTTCAATTTGTTCTAAAATGTTTGTTTTGGTGAAGAATACTAGCGGTATTGAAGTGAGGCCTACTTTGGGGGCCAAAGTCGCCTAATGTCGTCTAATGTCGCCTAATGTCGCCTAATTTCGGCCAATTTCGCCCATGTTCACCCAATTTTTGAATTTTGCCTAACAGTCTATTCGCATAATGTCGCCTAATTTCGCCTAATGTCGCATAATCTCGCACAAGCATGCCCAAATTTGCACTTTGAGTTTGTCGTCCATTCTAGTCTATTCTTTATTTATTTGTTAGTTTCCTGCATTTTTTTTATAAATACATGTACACAAACACCAAGGGCATGTGCTTTTAGGGCATCATCTCTCACCAGTACTAATGAGGCTTGGTTAGTTGGGGTTTATATGTATATGGAATTATAACGCATCATTCCAATGAGAATTACCTAAATTATGTTGTTAAGGCAGCCTTCTGGCTATCTTCTTCAATGTATTTCTTTGTGAAACTCAGTCAAATTAGTCAATCACACGCCATTAAATGTTGTATATGAAATCAAACTTAGATCTCATTTTCAAAGATACATTTATGGTAACTTGCGAGTGCTAAGGTACAGAATACCTCTCACTAGCCTAGTAAAGTACAGTAGGTATCCTAAAGGCCGAAACGGTACCGTTTTATTTTATTTATTTATTTATTTATTCATTGAATTTGTCACCATACCAAAAAAAAATTACATTGACGTAGATAAATATGTGACGAAAGAACGGAACAGGACTTTCGTCCCACTTGAAACCTAACCCCTTACAATATACACAATATACTATTTGTCTTTACTCAACAATATATACATTATATTTTGTTTACATTTATATACATTATCACATATTTGGAAACGACTAACATGACAAAAAAAAGTTCAGGAATGACTATAATTGGCCGGAACAACCAGGAGGCAAAGTAGTTATAATAAAGAAAGTCATCTATAGTATGTAGTATCTATTTATGTATCTATAGTCTGTAGTTATAATAAAGAAAGTCACCTATAGTATGTTCAAAATACGACTTTGTAGTTTTTAAAATAAAATTACTTACTTTTCGACCAAGCTGCGATGATCGACATCTCATAATTAGGTATCATCGCACAAGATACAGAGCAATGAACGCACTACAGAAAGATCTACGGTACAGGTTATTATAAAATGATGCCAAGGGCAAGGCCCGCCATAATCAATTATTATGTTTCCTTACACGAAGTAGTACAAGTTAGAAGCTAAACCATTAAATTAGACGTGTCGTGGTATTGCGGGCTCAAATCCCAGCCGCCATTTCTTTAAGCATTTTTTTATATTGACGAATATAAACTTTTGTGAATTCAATACTTGTTTCTATTTATTAATTTATATCTGATTCTTGCTGGAGATACATCAAACAAGGTACTTTTATCGCTATTTTGTGATTTATTTCCTTACTAATAAAAAACCGAATACCAAACACCACGATGTACACAGTACACTTAAACATATTAACTTTATAATTTATTCTGTAACTACAAGAAAACTATACTAATCAAAAGTTTGCAACTGTTGAAAGCCACACAACTAACGTTTAAAGTTAATATGATTGGTTAAAACACAAGCTTATTGGCTTACATTTAAGCGAGCAAATTTATTAGCACCTTGTCCACACCTATCACTGCATACCACACTCCATAAACAGGTTTTAAAACTCTATGAGGTGTTTACACCAGTCAATTTAATAATTAAGAATTTAGAGTTCTATGATACTGTAAATGTACCATGCACTGAGCATGTATGTGTACTAAGGTATAAACTTTGAGTAAATTGTCAGGCTAGCTGTTAGAGAAATGTTCCTTGTTATTTTTGCAAACTATTTGTAATAAACTAATTGTTTGCCACAGGAACCAATTTTTGATAACTAAATTATATTTTGATATATTATTACAACAAGAACTTTTTACAAAAGAAATGTAGTTATTAAACACGGCAGAATCGATGCCACGGCCACGGGTTTTCAAATTGTCTATTCTCTATGGAGTTAATTGTATTATTGAGGAAATGACAGACTTCACGCAATAATGTTGTGTTTTAGCCTCCTATTGTTTAATCCAGGGTAGCTATTGTTCGACACTTTTAATAAATAGTGTTTGTTCAAAACCTAAATACATTTGCTTAAATCTTACAGTTATATTTTTTACATAAATGTACAAAATACATTAACTAGAATAAAACTTTGTATACTCACCGTCTGTAGTATAGTCACAGTCTAGTTACACAATTAGTTAAAACGGCAATCTACCAACAAGACAGCAATATACAAACGGGACTACGTTTTAAATATTAGAACACTTTAGGAAAAAAAACACCATGCATTATTTTAGATTAAAGTTTAGACCTTGGAATCCTAGTGAAAGATACAGGCGTAAAATTGCGCGAGAAACTGTTTGTTGTTGTTAATAACCTCTAGTAATCTAATTAACAAAACTTACTTTGATTGGCTACTATTTACCGGATATTCAATTATCTCAAACGGGGCGTATTGAAAAAATATCAATCAAAGTCGCAGGCTCTATATATATAGAGCCTGTGAGCAGGCTAGCATGCTCGCTGTCCGAAAACCGACGTTGGGGCCGGACGGAAAAGTTGATATTCGCATTTCTCTTGATCCAAAATATCTAAATGGTGCAATAAAACGTGAACATTTCCCTATGCCTACTATTGAAGAAGTTGCTACGCGATTAAATGGAGCGAAAATTTTCAGTGTGTTTGACGCCAGTAATTGGATTTGGCAAGTAGAGCTCGATCAAGCGTCTAGCCGATTCAGTACTTTCAACACTCCATTCGGGCGGTATTGTTAGAAACGTACGCCGTTTGGTATAAGCTGCGCACCAGAAGTATGGCAGCGAAAAATGCACGAACATGTTGAAGGTTACATGGGGTGGAAGTGATAGCGGATGATTTTGTCGTGGTTGGGTTTGGAAGTACCCCAGAGGAGTGGAATGCTGAGCATGACCGCAATGTCCGTGCTTTTCTCGAGCGCTGTCGGGAGAAGAACCTGAATCTAAAGAAAGAAAAGGCTCAGTTAACGAAGACAGAAGTGTCTTTTATTGAACACATCTTAACCCCAAATGGTTTGAGGCCTGATTCAAAGAAAGTAGAGGCAATCAACGACATGACTCATCCTACAGATGTGCAGTCTCTACAAATGTTCCTGGGTATGGTAACCTACCTAGCCAAGTTTTTGCCATATCTCTGATGAAACGGAAGTGTTGAGGAGGCTCACAGAGAAAGCTGCAGAGTTGTGTTGGTTAACCGCACACGAAGAAGCCGTGGTCCGAATCCAAAAAATGATCAGCGCTGCGCCAGTGCTTGCCTACTATGACGTCACAAAGCCCGTAACTATACAGTGTGATGCCTACAGCAATGGAAAAGTGGAGAATGCTGTAAATACCTGCAAATTATTGTTAAAGAAAGCTCGCGACGACAAACCGGATCCACTCCTCGGCATACTATGGCGCAATACACCAACCGAAGGCATGGGTGCTTCTCCCGCCCAGTTACTGTATGGTAGACGTACTCGAACACGTCTTCCTGTTGCAAAGAAACAGTTGAAATCGACTCTTATTGAATGAGTGACGAAGAAGATGGAGAAAGGCAAAGAGAAGCAAAAGAAATATTTTGATTGACAGTCGCGGAAGTTGAAAAGGCTGTCAGCAGGCGATGTCATCCGAACACATTGTCCGGGTGATTCAAGATGGTCTCCTGGTAAGGTCATTGAAGTTATGGGTCTTCGATCTTACCTGATTGAGGTCAATGGAAGAAGATATCGTCGAAATCGAAGGCATTTACGTACGACCGCAGAGCAGTTACCTTGACAAACCGAACTGTCCGATGCAGATGAGCCCTTTGCTGACGACGAATCAATCAAAGAGCCCCCTGAAGTAGATACAATGGGGGCCAGAGACATGGAGAAGATGGTAATGTACGCCGCTCGGGGCGAAGCCATCGTGCTCCAAAACGTTTTGAAGATTACGAGTGCAATTGACACTAAACCTTTAAATAAACTAGTTATAGGTTTGAACCGAATGTCATCGGTTGATTACATAGAACAGTTATCGAACTTGTTTATGATAACGCATAGCTAATTCGATCAATCGAACAGTTTCCATTGAGTTTTGTATTGAAGCTATAACTAAAAAACTTAAGGAGAAGATATGTAACGATAGTTACCTTTGTGGGTTCCCTGTGACACACGGCCAGGGGAAAGGAGATAGAACAATATGGCGGATAGCCAGAATTTTATAACTTTATACTCTTAGCTTTTTGTGTATGTTTCACCGTTTATTTACCGTCTATTAAAAGCGTAACACAGTTGAGGAGCAATGCTTGCGTGCAAATGTTATCCCCTTCACAATCTTTGTATTATTTTATCGTATAATCGCAACTTTCAAGTGTTTGAGGTGTTCTGAAACTGTAAAATTCGGTGTAGTGACAAGCGAATCTTGGAATGAACTACATACATGGCCTTCTCGTAAAGCTATTCCATGCCCTATTAAGAAGCAGTCTCTGTAAAAACCGCCAGCTCGAATTTCATTTCAAACATGATCTTCGCTAAAACTCTGGCAACTGGAAAGCTTTACCAAATATAAAATAAAAACAGTCTAGGTTAATTTGGTTGGAAACGATTTTCCAGTCGCGCTACAAATAACGAAATATCTTTCCCCTTCAAGGCATGTTGAGACGTCTCGAAAATTGAAAATTACGCATTTTTCATTTATCCGTAACGTAAAATATTATATTAACTATCAATGAATTTTATATCATTTCCCTCATGTAACTTTCTAGTTTTCTGGAAGACAAGGAATTTTTACCTTTTTTGGGTTTTGTAATCATTTATTTAAACCAGAGTAGCGAGCGAAACATCAAACATGATTGATATACCTGGTTGCAGTGAACGAACAAACTTTATACATTTGATGTTGTTAAAAGTAAATGTCTTTTTTAAGTATAATTTGTTGTTATTCACGTGCAAGGTTCACATTTTTGTTCAAATCGTTCAACTTGGCTTGCGTCATTTGAAATTTAATTAAAGGCACATCAACCACGTCATTCCAAACGTAGTGAAGTGATTCCAGTTAACGGGCGCATCCAGGACAACAGAAATTCATTTTGCACATTAAAGGGAACACGCCACGTACTATCTAGTGGCTTTCCTTCCTGATCTATAGTATTGTGCTTCTCAATTTCAATTGACTCTCTCATTTTGCGAAAGAACATATGTCTATCAATCGCCAAAATAGTTGCTTCGTCCCATTTTATACGATGGTCGTAAGTCCAAGTACAGTGTGTTTAGCCACAGCAGATTTATCTAGCTCGGCTTTCTCGCATTTCGTCTTGTGTTCCTTAAAACGTACTGAGAGATTTTGACCATGCAGTTTCACCAATGTAAACAAAACTACATTCACAAGGAATGCGGTACACATCAGGTTTCGGATATTCATTAATGTTGTCTTTATGTGTGCAAAGAGCTCGGAACAATTTGTTTTCGCTAGAATGGTATACCTTTATACCTGCTTCATTCTTCGAAATTCTTTCGATTTTGTGTGAAGCCGGACCAATGTATGGCAGAAAAACAGACGACTGATATTCAAGTTTCTGCTGTATGCTTTGCAATTGTGGTGTTTTCATAGCATTATCTATGAAATGCCGTGGGTAACCAATCATTTTTAGAACATTTCTTAAATGTTCTAATCACTCGTCAATGTTACTTACCTCACAAATTGATTTCGCTCGGTTGATGAGTGTCTTCCACACAGAGTTTTTAATACTAGGATGATGAAATCAATTATAATGCAGATACCTGTCTGTGTGTGTTGGTTTCCTATAAACCCTATGTCCTAGCGACCCATCATCATGTAGCTATAGCGAAAAGAACATCTAAGAATGGTATAGTTTTATCATCCTTCAAAAGTAAACTTGATCGATGGATGCAAACTATTAAGAGAGCTTGCCTGTAAGAATCACAAAATGTGTGGCAGATATGAAAAACTGAAAGTTCTTCAATTTCCATCGATTTTATATATATTGTAGACCTACCCAACCCCCCACATTTACTGAAGTTTCAGCCATGAAACCAAAAATGAAGAAAAGTTAGATGACTTCAAAAAGGGAACCAAAAATGACGCGAAATGTCCAAGAAATTTCGCTATATAAAGTAGTCAACATTATGTGCTGTGCCGAGCGCGCATTATAGGTTTTTGCTCTGCTGTTGCAACATATGTCTTTAGAATATAAGGAGCTTTCTCGTGATATCTTTTCTCCATAAATCGAAGCTTATTGACTTGGTTATTTGAGACCAAAGATGGTTGAAATTTCCGGGTTTTCCAAACTAGCCAAAGTACGTCTTGCGAATCACCTATTTAAATATATATGGTCCTACTTTGTTTATAAATGTACATATGCATAATTTGTTAGGGCTAGGATTTAGTCATTCGACGACGATTTCAAATGTTTGGGATTCTTTTGTGTCTTGGCGAAATTTACATAACATAACATAACATAACATTTATTAATTTATATCGCGCAAATTCAACAATGCAGTTTTCAAATGCGCGTTACAACAATGGATAGGACAATTAAAATACGTAGAATTAATATTACAAATTTAATCTAAGAACTGAGCTAATAAAAAGCCTCTTTAAAAAGATATGTCTTAAGATCTTGCTTACAAATATTAAAATCAGAGATACTCCTAAGATTCAATGGCAATACATTCCATAGTTTTGGTGCAGCAGCCATAAAGGCTCTGTCACCAAGAGTAGACAATGTCTTAAAATTTGGCGGACATAAAAGAAGTTTGTTATTTGATTTTAAGCTATAAGAAGAGTTTGTTTTAAAAGTTATAAGTTCAGTTATATAATTAGGGGCAGTTCCATGAATTGCCTTAAACGTAAGTGTAATTATCTTATATTCAATTCGATATTTGACTGGCAACCAGTGTAACTCATACAACAGCGGAGTAATATGGCTAAACCGTGGTGCACGGTAGAGAATCCTTGCGGCAGCATTCTGAACACGTTGTAATTTGGCTATAGCATTGTTGGGAAGTCCATATAACAGTCCATTGCAATAGTCTAGGTGACTGGTAACGAAGGCATGAACAAGTTTCTCTGTTGATTCTCTGCTTAAATACTTGCGAATTCTTCTTATATTATGCAGATGATAAAAAGCACTTCTACAGGTCTTATTGATATGGTGATTCAAGTTGAAGGTACGGTCAAACCAAGCGCCCAAGTTCCTGATAGGTTCTTCAGATGGTGAAATCACAGATTCACCAATAGTTAGAGTAATTTTCTTGACTTTAGCGAGCTGAGCTTTTGTTCCAATTAACATAAATTCCGTTTGGAATATTTACAGTTAAACATATACAATATTAGCGTAACGGGCAATTCCAGCTATAGACTAAATTTTGATTTGGGCAAGAAAAACGAAAGCCATCAGCACAGCTAGAAAGAGTATGTTAAAATTAGTAAAATTACAAAGTTTCGTTGCAAAATGTTGTAAAATGAGGAAAATATAGCCCTGCGAAATTTGCAAATTTTGTATTAATTTGTCAGTACGCACGGAAATTTGCACAACTTTCGGCCCAAATGTGGTATACAAAATTTGCAAATTTCGTAGGGCTATTATTTTCCTCATTTTACAACATTTCGTGGCCAAACGTTGCAGTTTTACTAATTTTAACATGCTCTTTCTAGATGGATTTTGTTCTTCTTGCATAGATCAAAATTTAGTCTATATGATGTATTATAGCTGGAATGGACATTTGCATTATAGACTAAATTTTGATCTAGAAAAAAATTTCATCACAGCTTGAAAGAGCATCACAAAATTAGTAATATTCCAAATTTTCGTTGCGAAATGTTGTAAATTGCGGATAATATAGCTTTGCGAAGTTTGCAATTTTCAGCCATTTTAGATTACAAAATGGGAAATTGATGCCCCAACACCCGATTTGGACTGTCAATTTCCCGTGCGTAATACAAAATTACTGAAAAACGGCAAACGTCCCATGGCTATATTATCCGCATTTTACAACATTTTGCAACGAATCTTTGGAATATTACTAATTTCGTGATGCTCTTTCAAGCTGTGGATTTTTGTCTAGATCAAAATTTAGTCTATAATGCAAATGGTCCATTGCCCATTGAGTGGTTCGTATTAACTGGAGTGTGACACTGTGGATATTATTTCTTAAATTTTATTTCAAAATGATTCTGTGTTTACTGTAGTCGTCACTGGGAACACACGCTTCACTTCTTAAATATCGGTCATGCATTTTTAAATTAACTCAAATTTACATCATGAAAAACACAATCATGCAGATATGCAAATACTATACAAATATAAATAAAAACGTTGTTGTTGAATGGAAAATCAGCTGAAAAGAATACAAGATGGTAAGTGTTATCTTCTCTAGAGGGCCTGCGACAAATTATGTCGTGGTCTAGTACGTAAGGAAAAAGTAGTTCCAACATGTTTACTACAAGATAAAATAATAATTGATTTGTGATATTTGTAACCTGCGCTGTTATAAACCCGGAAGTAACTTTCTCAACAAAGTTGTAAATAA